GGCCTGTGGCAACTCCACGACGCCACGAGAGAAGGATTGGCTAACTATCCCTGGTCTAAGGCAACTCTGCCTAGGTAGCTCAACCATGCTAGGGCAGTCTCCCTAGTTAGGTTCTATTAACGCCACGGATATAAGACAACTCCTTGTCGTTCAGTTTTCGCAAACATCTATGCAAAACCTTTTTCCCCAAAACAATTTCTTTTCTTTTTGAAAATCAATTTCCCTTTTTCCTTCCCAATGCCATGTATGAATGTCACATGCATTTCAATCCTATGAAATTTCATACATTCAACTTCAATTATATTTGCATGCATCGGAAAGAAATTAACACTTAATTTAATCCTCAAATCATCAATTACTCAACCATCACATGTTTAAACATGTAAAGCTTGTATTCATTTAATTCAAATATACATCTTTGCAATAATTCAATTAAACAACTAAATCAACACACACACCACATAAGGAGCAGCCATCATGCTTCACATATAAATCTTTATTAACCATGAATGTCATTCATAAATTTAAGATGCTATAAACACAAAACATGGAGGATAACTCACAAAAACCCAAGGAATTACGGTTTAAAAAACCCTACCTCAAAATTAAGCAAAAGCCCTAAAATTTGCCCTAATTTCAAAAATGCTAAAGTGGTCTAAACGAAAATCGGCTCCGATCAAATCGTAACCCTCGTCGTGCTCGTTAACTTTGACTTCTATGGCAAAGTTCAATTCCAAATGAAATGGGTGAAATCTAAGCTTTAAACTTGTAGATTTAGAGATAGAAAGAGCTATTTTCAGCAGAAAGAGGAGGAGAAAATGAACCTCCATCAGCAATGTGGTCCTTTAAGGATAGGTTAGTCAACGCGGGTCCCACTTGTCTTCAAAATATCTAATTTTGTCTTCTTTTTGCATATATACATATACACATGAAACAAATATACATCTAAGTACATAACCACATCAATATGCACCAAATACTAATAATTATGAAATGTATATGGATCGAAAAAGAATACTCGCGCATGAAAAATTCGAGTGTGGGACCCCCGCAGGATCTCTTGGCCCAAAAATTTGAAAAATGCCAAAATGGCTTAAAATACATTTCTAAGAGCTTTAAACTCAAAGAAATGTCCTAATCAACTCTTGGGACTTATACGACACACCCCACGGTGTTCGGCACGCAAAATGAGACAATAAATAAATAAATCCAAAAAATACTCGAAAATGAAAAAATAAAAAAAAATGAGAAACATCACAGACAAGGATGTGATAGATGATGTATCCCTACATGCTTAGATGTAGCTTGATGATGTCTTTTGTAATCATTTTGTAAAAGCATTCTTTTGAATTTTAAAGACATGTATTGACCTTATTCTTTTGTTAGTTTCAAGCGAAACCGTTGTATTTGTGGACACGGAGGCCTTGACATGTAATTCTATTCTTTTGAATACATTTTATCATGTCAAAGATGTATGAATGTTTAAATTTAGATTTGATTATCAATTATGAATGGATGCGAATATTTTGATGATTCAATGCAATGTTTTGAGGTTGATGATGTTGATGGGGTTTTATTTTTCATCTTCGGTTGCTCGGGGTTGCATTTGAATAGGTTTGGGAAGTTAACATTTCGACCAATTCACCATGGGATATCATTTAACCAGTTAGATAGAGATATTTACCCAGTTAGATGAATGTGCAGTATGTAGGTTTAATGGGATTCTCCTATCAAACCGGTTAGATGGGTATATCTAACCAGTTAGGAGGCCATCTACCCGGGTAGAAGCTCTCATAAACCCAGTTAGATGAATAAACAGTAGGGGGTTATGGCTATCTACCTGGCTAGGTGAATCTATCTACCCGGTTAGATAGGCCATTCATTTTGACCTGGACTAGTCATCTAATCGGTTAGATGAATTCATGTACCCAGTAAGATGAGTTGATATTTACTGTTTGACTCCAAATTTCTGTATAATTACCTAATTACCCCCAGATGTCAACCAAAGCATAGAATGACCATAGAAAATGACGATTTTACCCCTGATGAGTTTAGAAGCCATAATGAATGTACTAAATGACTATTATACCCTTATGGACTCTAGAATTATTATAATGACATGAAATGACCATAGTACCCTTATGTGACCTTGGGTTCGGGCATAGACCTGGGTAGCAATCCGGATCCCCGGGTTTGGGTTGTTACACAGTGCCTCTTGCACCTGCTCATATCACACCTGCCTACAAGGTCGCCCCCTAGGTGCCCAACTGTTAGGTTTGTGGCTCAAAATTGTGTACATAAATTAATTTCCTTTTCCGTTTTGGAATGTTAAAATTTGTGAAGGAAATTGTGTCTCATTAAGTTTTTATTTTAGAGTTGGGATTGATATGGTAACTCTTTATAGGTAAGTTGAGGAATACTTTTCCAATAAGGAATTGGGTTTTGAAGACTCTATAAATAGAGAGGTTTAGAGAGATAGAGAGAAGAAAGAAAAGATGTTAGGGGTTTAAGGGTGAGTGTTGTAAGGAGATGTGAGAGTATATGTAATTCCCGAGTGTATACATGTGGCTTCAAAAGAGATGATTAGTGAGTGAGTGGGGTTTTGACATGTGATTGTATATTCTCGTCCTTGATTCATAATAGTGAAATTTCTCTCTCCCACGGATGTAAGCTTAGAGTTGGGTGAACCATATAAAATATTGTGTTGTGTGTGGATGTATATGATTGTTATTTACATATATGCTTGTGTTGATGTGATGTGATGTGATGATATTTCCATTATGTGTGATGAATGAGGAATTTAATTCTCAACAACAGCCGACCGTTGAGTGGATTGGAGCGAGTTAATTTTTTCCCAATACCAACGTCCCCATCGCTACACTTCCGACTAGATTAGGCTCTGATATCATTTATAACGATTTACTCCACCATATGGTATGATATTATTCGCTTTGGGCATGAACTCGCACGATTTTTTTTGAATTTTACCTTAAAAAATTTCATATCAATTGGAGTTAGTACCACTACATATAAATACTTTACGTTTTTCACGTCCAAAGAATGTAGAATTGTGCATCCGTGACCCAGTGTGGTAGCTACAATTCATGTTCCTAATTTTTTTTTGAAAACAGTTTTTAAAAAATCAGTACTAAACAAACAAGTTTTTGTACAATGTTTAAATAGATCATCTAGGAATTCGCACAAAGCCAAAATGTATGTTTGGATGATAACATGAACAGTATGTATTATTAACGTACGCACCTTCGGACTGTGAGTTGCAAAAAGGTAAAGATGAGGAAGAAAAGGTGTGGGTACAAGATTAACTCAAAACTGTCAGACACGAATAGATAAGCTACTGTACGTCAGACACGAACAGATAAGCTAACAAGATTTTTTTGAGGGCCTCTGATTTAGAAATTATTTCACATCACAGATTGATCATATATAATAAAAACAAACAAGACATGCATGTGATTATGTACCAAAAATAGTTCTTGAGGTAGTAAACTATGCATTTTTATTTGATATATACGTAGTATATAAAATGAGGCTTAAATAATTTGTTCTTCAGAGTACTTCCTTTTACAATATGTTTTTAATTTCTTCAAAACATATTGAAACGATATTATAGACCATGTTTGGCTTTTTGGATCCAAACAGCTACTTGCATCTCTCATGAGCATGTGACTCATCTAGCAAAGGTTCTCTCAGGTCATCTCACTACGACATACTAAGGGCCTCCCTCAATTCTCTTATCTTTTACGAGTAGGAGTTATCTTAAAAAATTAAGACTTGTCCGTTGATAACATGGACTCATTCATTTAGAGGTTCTCTTTGAATCTTATATTATCGTGAGATTACTTTTTTTTGGGTAATCATTGCTTATTCTCGCGAGCCTCAGTTGCTCGTGGAAACACCCTCTTTAATTGTATAAATTTATTAGAAAATTCCAAAATACAAGTGTAATTATAACATTAATTATTGAAGTAAAAAAGAAAACAAAATTATCTTCCATAAACAGCTGCTTGCATCTCTCATAAGTATGTGACCGATCCAGCAAAGGTATTCTCAGGTTATGTCACTGCAATAGTGCCATCGCAAGCATTTTGAGACATATATACTATTAGTCTCCCTCGATTCTCCTGCCTTTCACGGAAAGTAGTTATCTTGGAAAATTAAGATTTGTCCGCTAATAACATGAACCCATTCATTTAGAGATTCTCTTTGAACCCTGTATCCTCGCGAGATTGCCTTTTTTTGAGTAACTCTTGTCTATTCTCGCGTGGCTCAATTGTTCGTGGGAACACCCTCTTTAATTATATAAATTTGTTAGAAAATCCCAAAATACCAGTGTAGTCATAACATTACTTAATGAACTGAAAAAGAAAACAAAAGTATTAATCTTAATTAGCTATTATTATTTTCTTTTTTGGGGTAAATTAATCTTAATCTAGTTAACTAATATCTAATATTATAAATTAATGAAAAATCATAAAAACTTGTAAATCAGTTTCTACATAAATCTTGGTGTTGATAAACAAATTGTACACAATTGAATGTTCTATTGTACTCTTTTACATTTCTTCTTTCTTTTCATATTAAAACCATGTACTTGAAGGGAGGGGAGAGAGAGAAAGAGGGGCTTGTATGGATGATTTCTTTTTTTCTTTTTTCATTTTTCTTTTTTAAAGAGATGTGAAATATGAAACAAACTTAAAGGGCTTATACGACCATTGCTATTTTTGTAAAAGATCCATAGGGTGTTCAATATGGCAAAAATCGAATATTTAGGGTTTGGCTAAAGGACTAGTAAATGAAAAAAGAACAGTGAGACAGTGCTTAAGAATATTTACTCCACCTTGAGAAAATTTGGAGAGAGAGAGAGAGAGAGAGAGAGAGAGAGAGTTGTCCTTTGAAAATGATCTCACAAGGAGACATAGGCACCCAATAAAAGGAGCATGGCCATTCCATGGAGTTGCACATGCCTTCTGCTACCTCAATATTGAAATTATTGTCCTTCTATAGGTTTCCCTAGACTTGGCCACATCTATTAACTTCATCTTGTAGCTTCTCTCTTTCTCTTTCTCTCTTGCTAGGTCTTGCCATAGTCAATCCTTCACCTGCTACCCTCCTCTCACTTTTACTGTTTCACAAGGACCCCCCTCTTTCTCTCCTTACCCAATTAAGCTGCAGCAAAGTCCAGTTTCCTGAACATAGTCAAAAGAAAGCTCTTTTCCCTTTATAAAAAAACTAGTTTGTTTTTGGAGATCTCTCTATTCTTCATCCTCCACCACCACCCACCTCCCTCTCAGATGGTACACATGAAATAGCTGTCTGATCAATGTATAACCCAACCTCTAGCTTTTTTTTTTAGGGTTCTTAAAGGGGCGCAACAAGAGGACTTCCGAGGCCCGCAGTCACCCATCTTAGTACTACTCTCGCCTAAATAAGCCAGAGTTCTAATGGGATCTGGTATACTAGTGCTGGTATGATCGAACCCAAGCTTTCCCTTCAGATTAAAGAGGTATATATATCCTCTCTCTCTCTCTCTCTCTCTCTCTCTCTCTTCTATTTTTATTACTTTGGTTGCTTTCTAATTAGAAGTATCTCTCATTTGCAGAATCACAAACATGGGAAACTCCCAAGCTCTTTAGCTAGCTAGCTAAGACTGATCAGTCCCAAAAAAAGAAAAAAAGAAAAAGCGAGACTTTTGAGTGCAATGACAAATTATCCATGTTTCCTTCAAGCAATTACAACCCCTTTTCATACAGTACCATAGAAAACTTATCAGGACAGTCTTCTACAAATTATGATCAAAATCCAAACTATGAGGCCTCATTGGTCTCATACTTCCCTTTTCCTTTTCTAGATGACAATGACCTATTACTGGATCATTTAGTCCAGCAACAAATGCTCATGGTTGGTGTTAGTGGTGTGGCTGAGAGTGATGATGTTTACTTGGGGGCTTTAAACAAGTCCACAGATGTAAACAATACTCAGATCACTAACACTGCCACTGAGCAAATGCCTTCAAAAGTTCATCCAAAAACAAGTAGTGATACTACAAAAAGCCCCAACCCTGGAAGGAGGAGTGGCAAGAAAGATAGGCACAGCAAGATTCATACAGCTCATGGTCCGAGAGATCGGAGAATGAGACTGTCCCTTCCCATTTCCAGAGAGTTTTTTGGGCTCCAGGACCTGCTAGGCGTCGACACTGCAAGTAAAACCATAGAATGGCTGTTCACAAACTCGAAGGCGGCGATCAAAGAACTGATCACAACCAGAAAGCAATCACAAATGAAGAACAGTCATGATCTGATGGCAATGGAAGAAGGTGAAACCACTGTGGGTTTTACTAGTACTAGTGAGAAGAAGAACAAGAAATCGCGGAAAGCGTCGCTGAATCCTCTTGCAAAGGAGTCCAGGGACAAGGCAAGAGAAAGGGCAAGGGAGAGAACAAGAGAGAAAATGATGATCAGAAGCCTTGAAAAATCACCTGAACAGTGTTTTGAACCAAACCCTAAAAGTTTGGATTCAAGTGGTGGTACTCCCTTGGAAGCTGGAGAAGAAGAATCAATTAGTCCTCATGGTCATGAAATGGGTAATTCCCTCTTAGAAGTAGAAGATGACACTTCTCAATCACTGGAACATCAATTGGCTACTGTGGAGATTATTGAGGAACTTTGGGCCACTCCAAGCTCTTCCATGTATGAGTTTCAGAACAATGCTTCAGTCTCAGATGGGGTACAATCCAACAACAATTTCATGAGTTTTCTTGGAAATTGGGACTTCATGAACAATGCTAGAATCAATTCTGATTATTGTGCAGTGACAAACAAGGCTCCCCTGGCAGGTAATGATGATGATCAAAACCCTAGCCCAATGTTCATGAACACCTCAAACATTCATTTTCAGTCTCAGTTCTAGGAAATCAGTGTCTAAGTAATTAGTATGGATTTGTGCTTTTTAAATCATTAAAGGGTATAATCTCTTATCTTCAGGAATCACTAATTTGTCCTCTTTTCAACTTCTACTTAATTTGGTCTCCTAGCCTTTGCCTACAATGAGCAGAAAGGCTATTGTGTTGGAGTTTGAAACATGGAGGAATGAGATATTGTCATATTATATATCTTAATCATCATCATATCAATATCATCTCTCTCTCTCTAGATAGATATATATGTGTGCATATATCCATATATATCTATATATATGTATCTATCTATCTATCTATCTATCTACCTATATATCTATATCTGACAACTGTTGATGAGTCAATTTAAATTTTAAATAAGAGTATTTAGTGCATTTCTAGTATCCAACAAGTATCTTAAGTACCTGACAACATTAGTCTTTTAATTGTGTAGCATTTTCAAGAATTTGTTCTTGTTAGTGCAACTGATCAAATGCTTGTTTTTTTTCTCCCGGAAAGTGATCAAATGCTTGTTCAAGAACACATATTACATGGAAAATGTAGCCATTTGTTACAAAAAAGTTTGTCAGTTAAAAGGATGTCCTAAATGTCAAGAAAAAATCAATGTTCCTTGAATCTGTTTGGATATAGAAGTTTGTACATTTTCTTTGTGTTTAGGCACTGCTTGGATCTATAATTAATATGAATCTCTGTATATATAGATATCCATACAGCCCTCGAAAAGCATTCTTAGCTAGACAGGGTTGTGCAACCAAAACAGACAAGATGGGAAAGTGATCGATGCAATTAACATAAAAGTGATATGTATCTTGATGATATTTCCTTTCTGTTCATTCGTTTCAAATTTTAATTCTATGATGTTTGCTTAACCTTCCCAAAAACAAAAACAAAAAATAAAAAAAAAAAAACAAAAAAACAAAAAAGGAACCAATCGTTTTTCTTATCTTCTCTTCTAACTTCCTTTCGTTTATTTTTACTTAACTAAAACTAATCTGGTGTAAATAATATATTTAAGTTCAATCATGTTTTTCGTTCATGCTAAAATATTAAAATTTTCAAATCTAACAAATTAGAGATACATTATCTCATTTGCTCAACATGAAGTCATAATCCTTAGCAAGATATTTTGACATTAATTTGTCTACGGGACAAAGACTATAAATTTATTATAATTGTGCAATTAATTAACTTCATAATTAATATGACTATTACTGTTCACATATATTTTATAGTGTATTGAATATATAGTTGAACTTGTACACTTCTTGGAAGAGTGTTCAAATGTATTAATCAGTTATATGATCTAATCAATTATTCCTTAACTAATGTAGTAAATGCACATAAATTTCTTTTTGTTTTCTTTTCTTTTTTCAATTAAATATCAGGAGTTAGAACACTAGAATATTGTACATTTATTTAATCAAACTGGGTTACTTTTAATGAATGTTTGGATAAGGTACCGTAGTAGGTAGACGTACGTTGGGAGATTTCATTGTTTATATTATTGTTGATATATAATTTTTTGAATAAAAATGCATGGGAGTTGGGCTTTGTTGGGAACAAATGACGGAAAAATAGATGAAAGGGAGAGTGGGAAAGGTGGAGGAGATATCCTTGGTGAAGGAAAGGTGTCCTCCTCCCATTTTGCTTGGTTGAGTGAAAAGGTATAGAAGAGGAAGACACCGTCCATTGTTTGGTAAGAGAAACGGTAAGAAGGGTTTTCATATATATATATATATAGAGAGAGAGAGAGATTTACTTCTATATTCTAGTTATACAATTTTACAATAATTGATGAAGAGTAATAATGTCACTTGCATAATATACAATTCTTTTTACCTTTTAAATGAAATGTTGAGGGTTCGAATCCCTGTAAAAATAAATATGCTGTATGTAAGTTTCTTGCTAATAAAAAAAAAAAAAAAAAAAAAATTAAGAAAATACTTCTCATTTTCTTCTCCTCTCCTAGGTCAAAAATGGTGGGTCAGAAGGAATAAATCATCTATCCATTCTCCCCTTCCCCCCAATTTTTCCTTGTACCAAATAATGGAAGTTTGCTCTATTTTTTCTATCTTCCCTTCGTTCACTTTTGACAAAATACAGCCAGAAGAAATCTTTTGGTAGGTTTTTTTTTTTTAGGTAAATTTTCTTTATTTCTTGATAAAGATGAATCAACCGACTCACTAGTTACTTTAAAAAAAAAAAAAAAAAAAATTTAAGAAAATACTTCTCATTTTCTTCTCCTCTCTTAGGTCAAAAATGGTGGGTCAGAAGGAATAAATCATCTGTCCATTCTCCCTTCCCCCCAATTTTTCCTTGTACCAAATAATGGAAGTTTGCTCTATTTTTTCTATCTTCCCTTCCTTCACTTTTGACAAAATACAGCCAGAAGAAATCTTTTGGTAGGTTTTTTTTTTTTTGTAAGTAAATTTTATCAACCGACTCACTAGTTACTTTAAAAAAAAAAAAAAAAAAAATTTAAGAAAATACTTCTCATTTTCTTCTCCTCTCTTAGGTCAAAAATGGTGGGTCAGAAGGAATAAATCATCTGTCCATTCTCCCTTCCCCCCAATTTTTCCTTGTACCAAATAATGGAAGTTTGCTCTATTTTTTCTATCTTCCCTTCCTTCACTTTTGACAAAATACAGCCAGAAGAAATCTTTTGGTAGGTTTTTTTTTTTTTTTTTTTTTTTTGTAGGTAAATTTTCTTTATTTCTTGATAAAGATGAATCAACCGACTCAACTTTTAAACTCTCAATACTTTGCAAATTTCGAATGTACTAATTGCCCGCAAATCACATGCACCATTCGAGCTTCACCTTTGATGAATTTCGAACTAAAGATTCAAAGGAAAGAATATCCTAAAAACCTTGCTAATTGAACTATATACCTTGTGGAGACTTGATTAGTTTGTAGGCAATTATGAAGAATTAGGGCACATTTGACTATCGTTTTTGTTTGTGTGGTATACCATAGCGAAGGAAAATACCGAAATGCATTTGATAACTTTTGTTCGATTTGAATATATAGTACTGCGTTTGTTGCCGAAAAGAGAGTCCAAATCAAAAACACCAAATTGGCATTCTATAATATTTTTGCACTGCAGCAAAACAGTATAGCGGTGAACGGTAACAAAAAAGAAAAAAGAAAAAAAAATCTAAATAGCCTTTTTGAAATAGCTATTTTGTTTTTGAATTTTGTAACATTTTTTACCAAACAGGTTTTCACCTTTTTGCTTCCAAAAAGTTTGCAACAAATTTAACATTACCAAATATGTTTCAAATCAATATTGAACACACTCCACGTCAAAAACGTTATTTCTGTTTCAAATGAAAAACAAAAACATAAAACGAAAACAGTTGCCAAATAAGACTCTTAATAGTTGCCACTAGATCTGTGATTTCAGATCGAATCCATCAAATCTATATCCGATTTGTTAAGCTAATGGATTATCATATTCGGATCGCTAGGTTTTTGGATTGAATGTTCCCATTAATCCTTATCCTATTTATCTCGGATCCGAATCGAATCGGATTCTGATTAAAATCATATTCACTTATAGTTATAAGGTTAGATGGTGTATAGAATAGTTATCAGATTTGAATCATCATAGATTTTTTTATTTTATTTTTAATCCATATTCAGATAATCGGATCGGATTTAAAATCTAATCCGAGGTCTAGTTGCGCTCTCCAGAATTTGTTTCCCTCCTTGAAACAATGGGTGGTGGTTAGAATGGGTGGTGGTTCCTGCAATTGCCCGTTGGGCTATTCAACAAGAGGTAACTGAGTGGGATTAGACGTGATTGGCTTTTTACAGGTCACCTGCTGGCCGTTGATGGTGCCTCTTCTTCTTTCTTAGCTTTTTTCCTCGTAAGCAATCATCATAAGTGTCTGGCCCCCTGGCCGTTGATGGTGCCTCTTCTTCTTAACTTTTCCCGCGTCATTGTACCTAAGCAATCATCATATGTGTCTATTATGTCTTCATCTTCAGAAAGAGTACCAAAGCTATATACATGGCATGAAATCATACAGCAACATGAATATACAGTGATATGTGATATATATATATACACATACATATATTATCTCACCACCACATCATGCTACGAGTGATCATGAGTCTAGCTACTAATATTTGGTACTATTAGGTGGATGAAACATGGCAGAAATTGATTTCTATCTAGATGAATTTCTGATATCTTCATTGGAAAAGTGTTTAATTGACAACTTGTTGCTGCACATGTTTGGCAACACATTGTTGTTTTCATCCAAAGTTAGAAAAAACGTTTTTGTTGTAGAATTTGTTTAATAATAATTAAAAATATGTTTTGTAACTTAAAATTTGTTGTGGTATTGGCATTTTTTTTTATGCCGTCACCAAAAAAAAAAAAACACATGAAGGGTTTACAAAGCAAGACCTTATTACCAAGATTGGGCTGGGTCAATCAAGACCATAAGGCCCACAGTGACCAACCAGTCTCTGTTGAAGCTATGGACTCTACATCTCAAATTTCAGCCTAAAGAGTGCAGCATTCATAAGGTCAGGCCAGCCCAACCAAATTGGAAATAATCCTGGGCCTAAATTGGAAATTAACACGAAATTAGAGGAACCTATTCGACTTAATGGGCTTGTTTCGGCCTAGTAGAAATGGAGAGATGCATGTATGATATATATGACCTGGCCATATTTATCAATTTCATTTGGGTTGAATTGGCAATTCTTCTTCGGAGAAAAAAGCCCATGTAAATTACTTGTTAGGCCATGTTGATCAATTTGCTTGGGATGAATTGGTTTTGTTTTCTATCAAGGATATTTTAGTCCAAGCGTTGGATTAGTGCACAATCATTTTAAGTCTTTAAAATATATTAATGCTTTATTTGGAAGTACCGAAATAACGCAGTTGATTTAAAATTGAAAAAAATAATAATTTAACAGTCGAATTAAAATTCCTCCAATTCCGAATCAAATGTATTGATATGCTCCCAAATGAACACAAGAATATTGTATATATTGATATCTTTATTTTTTTTTAATTTATTATTTTTCGTGATAAGGGAAAGTATTTTAAGATTTTTATGAGAATATATTTGGTGAGCCAAACAAAATCACATCATTTACAAATATAAAAACTTCTCTTGACTAACTGGGATGGTGTATTCTGTACATCATGATTTGCCGTATCTGACAAGACCTCTTAGCTAAAATAGTGTTGCTAGATTTGACAGCTACATCCGGGGGAGAACTATTTCCATCCGACCAAGCAACTCGTCATCCTTGGTTCAATCCTCGGATCTTGTAGCGGATGTAGGGGGCTTGAGTGGCCCCCCCCCCCCCCCCCCAAGATTTGACAGCTATATCCGGGGGAGAACTATTTCCATTCGACCAAGCAAGACGTCATCCTCGGATCTTGTAGTGGATGTAGGGGGCTTGAGTGGGCTTGACAACCCCCCCCCCCCCCCAACCCAATTTTTATTTTTTATAGCCCAATCTTTAAAAAAAAAAAAAAAAAAAACAACAACAACAACAACAACAAAC